AACATTTTTGTAAATATATAAATAACAAATATAACAAATATAATATATATATAATATAATATATATAACATTTTTTAATGAAAAAATTAGTAAAATAAATTTTCCTAACAACCTATTAATTTTAATGCTCGTAACTCTGTAATATTAAAAATATTTGTAAAGTAAAATAACAGTGAGATATATGAATATTAGTTATAAGCATATTCTGTTTTGCATAAAATATATTGAAAAATAATTTTAAAATATTATAAAATGTCATGTGTAATAACAAAAGATGATTTACTTTACTATAATCTATATTAACATTTTTATAATGTTGTAATACTTATGAACGAAGTACAAGTTAAAACTTATTATATGTGTATTAAAAATTTTCATATTTTTATGAATGTATTTTTGAGCCAATATAATGTTGTATCATAACACGAATAAATTAAAAAAAAGATATCTAAAAGGCCAATTAAGAATTTATTATATACACACTAAATTATAGTTCTACAAAATACATAATATGCATGCAATTATATTAAATGTATGTTATTTAATTTTTTAGCTTTATGTTAAAAAAGATTATATTTAATAAATAATATGCAATATATATATATATATAATACAACAATTTTATCGTTATATCATAATTTTTAAACAAAACGATACAGTAGTCCTTATTTTAAGGTAAAAAAAAAAAGAAAATTCTATATACTATATTCACAATAATAGAGATATATCATTTATTAATGAATTTATTAATTATATTAAAATAATAGAGATCTATAATTTCTCAATAAAAAATTGCGATAGAATCTAAATAACTAATGATGTGTACATCATTAGTTCGGCATAAATTAATTATGTTTTACTTAAGCACATCCATAAACATCTTTATTTCTAGTATACTAAATTACAATAATCATATTTACTTTTAGTGCAAAATAAAGTTCAACAGTTTTTAGTAAGAAAAGAGAGTATATATTATTATAATTTGAATTATGATTAAAAGGCTTGACCTTTAGATATAAAAGTTAGTTTTCAAAATACAAATGAGTAATTATACAAAACAAAGTTATAAATTTATTTATAAATATGTACTTATAAAATAATCTTGATAAAGATAAAGTATAAATACAACTATTTCAAGCTTAAATGTAAAAATTTGTTTAAATACATGAAAAAGTATACAGTTAAAATTAACGACAAAGAGTAAATTATGTAATTAGTAACAGTTTATTATTACGCTGCAAAAGCTTTAATGTAATTGTTGAACATATTGAAATTTCAGTATAATAGTACAAAAAAAATTCTTTACAATAAAATCAAAACAAATTTAGTCGGACAATATATTCGGAAAGTACATATTTTTTATCGTTAATCTTGCATATATAATAAAACTATTATGACAACTGTCGTTTAAATTAAAAGTTTCAATACCAATCCGAAGCATTAAAAAACGATCTCTAAATGTGCAACTGTTTAGAATTATATATTATCCAGAGTTAGTAAAATCTATCATTTTACATAATTCAGTGTACATAGTTAAATAATATAAAATGTCATGGGAAAAATTTATAGTTTAATTCAAATTTTAGTATAAGAATATGGTAGATTGTATAAAATTTCTTGGATAATTTCTAATTTCAAATCGAAGAATATTTCATGAAAATTCAAAGACTATTTATTATCGCAATATATACAAAAATTTTATTTATGATTATGATTATGATTTATGATTTTTTTTATTTTAATTATTAAACAATGATGATTTAAGATTTTAACTCTCACCTTCATTTACAAAGTTAATTTTAAGTAACTCAGGTATAATTCAATTCAAGTTTATCACATAGTTATCGTTAGTATATCGTCATTGGAATTCAAAATTTCATCACTTGAAAACTTCAAATCGAAATTATAGTAATTATAGTTATAAATATAATTGTATTTATATTTATACAAAAATTATAGAAAAAGCTGCTTTGATAGAAAGAATGCCAAACATGAAAAGTTTTTTTAACAAATCAATTACGTTTGAGATTATAATAATTATATTTTTCATTAAATGAAAGGTGAGAAATCTTCTGTTAATAAGAATTTTCAAGAATTAGGAATTACTAAAATAATGAATATTGTTAATAATAATTTCAATATGGTAATTAATGAATTTAGACGAACTAAAAAATTTCAGTAATAAATTAAGATAAAATGGTAACGAATAATGTACTTTTTCGAAAATATTTTTTATTGCAATATTATTATTTTAAATTGAAGTTCTTCGGTATTTTATGTAGTAATTTCGTTTTTTATATATTACACTTTAATTCTGGAAGCTGCTCATAATATTGATACTTATAATAGCGTGTTTTTAATTATTATAGGAGCTGATATTTATTTGCAAAAATTCTTACTTTTTAAAAAATTGTTTTCACTTCAAAATTACTATAATGATCATACACTTATTTTATCAAATTTGAATCTGTTAATTTTATCACAAGCATATCTGTTTGCATAGATCTACATTTCTTGTGATCAAGCCAATACTTTATTATTGCAGTTAATAAAATTTATAGTATACATAAATAATATAATGTTTGCAATGAATTAATCCATAATAATACAAGTATACGCATATAGATAAAGTTATAAAAATTCTAAAAGCACTAAAATTTTGTAAAATATTCTTTATTTCATGCTAAAGTGATACATGTGTTTGAATAAATTTCTATTTTTCTATTAAAACACTATTTCAGTGATATATATTTTTTAATTTTATCATCTATTCATATACATATTATTATAATATTTAGAAAAACACAAGAAATTACAAAATTTCTTTAAACATACTATAGAACAAGATATTACTTGTCAATATATATATATATATATATATATATATATATATATATATATATATAATACATTATTAATTGAATTAAATATAAGCAAATATTAATAACTATGTTTAATACAGAATATTAAATATTTATATAATGTATAATCATATTTACATAATACATAAATTATATTCGTAAATTGTAATTAATGTAGGCTGTTCTCTAAATTTAATATAACGAGTAGATTTTTTCAAAGTAATTGAAATCGATATATTTATGAGAATTATTAACACTTCTGCATGCTGTTAAATAAAAAGTGTATCATAAATAGGAGATAAAGGAAGGCATAATATACATCACTTGGTTTCCTACTAGTGAAGTTTTTGCCTTTCTATGTAACAATTCCGACCGTTCGAAATCACAGTCTAGACTCTTCCAACTCTCATATCGCGTTAGACCTTCGTTGCGTTCGTTTCAATGCACAAGAAATTCAATACATTCTGGTAAAGGTGCGATTGTAAGTGCACATAGGCATCTAGTCCCCCCATCAGTCAATTCTGCACAAATAGGTAAATGACAGTGTAAGGTGTATATTACATTCGCATTTAGTGTTTTAATATTTTTATTTGAAAATAAATTCGCTAGTAATTTTTTTAATAAATATTTTACGTGGTGTAATAGTAAATGCAGTTGATGAATTAGCAGATATAAACAATCGTCAGTGATATTTATTTCTTTTTAAATATAGACTATAAACGAAATAGAATAATAGTGTTCATGTGTGGTAAAACTAGGTCTCCTCGGTCCGTTTACTATTAACTAAATGCAAAAATTCATCTCTTCCGTTGCACGGTATTTCCGTGTAACAACCTACTTGTTTATAAAATAGATTTAATCGGATTTGATTAATTTTTTTGTTAAAAGAATGGTATATAAATATAAACATACAAAAAGAAGTAAAGGTATATTGATAAAATATAAACCGTGAATGAAAATGTGGCCTTAAGATTGCAAAGTCAAGCATTTAATTTGTACGATTACCTTTCACTTGACATATAATACATTAAGAGAGAAAACTAAGTTGAATTATTATTTTTAATTGTAAAACAAAATGCAGTAATACATTTTATCTAACTAAATACCTTTTAGGAAGTTAAAACTATTATACCATTAAAGAATATTCGATAAAATTGCTAATATTTATATACTTGATAATTTTTGTAACTCTAGTGTAAATATTAACAAAATAATTTTTGCATTCCTTTTTTTAATAAAATAGCACAAAAATTAGGAAAATGTAAAGATAAACTGATTATATTGACATACAAATGTTAATGAATAATAGATATTTTGAAAATATAAACCACCAATTTTTCGCTCAGTAATTCGATAATTACTATTTGTACAATTGTAAACAGTACAAATTGCATAAAATATTAATTTATACTTACAACTTTTTACTAATTAATAGAATATTTGATTCTATGTATAACTATAGATTTTATAGTACAATAAATATTATTAAATATTTTTAAAAAAGAAGCATTATTCCTTTCTCTAACTATATAATTTAATTATAGATGATAAGTATACTTGTTTCTAAAAATTAGTATGAAAAATAATATTTAAATTCAATTTAAATATTTGTTGTAATTTTTTTCTACTTTTGCGCAAGTAATAAAATTAAGTATTTACATATGTTTAATGTATTAAATGAAAATAATATTTAATTAATAATTTTACAAGTTTGTATTAAATTTACACATAGTGAGATTTATTTACATACAAACTTGTGCGCACATATACATGTACAATAATCTTATTATTTAATAATAATTATATTTCTATTCTATAATTTCTTTAATTGTGATTTCATTACTATGGTATAATATTGATACAAACTATTATTTACAATAAACAATTATTATAAAACTTACGAATGTTAAATGATAGAAAATATATATATATATAGTTCACTAATTAAATATATTTTCTTATGTTATAAATTACTCTTTATGCATTAATTAATAGAAAACTAGAAATTGGTGGATTAAATAAAAATAATTTATCAGTTTAACCTATTAGCATATAAAATCTCATTTAGCTTTTATTTAATAATAACATAGATAATGAAAGTATAAAATTATAATAAAAATATATACATTTAGATTGGCAATGGAAAATACGAAAGAAGCAGGAGCATCGAAAGACCCAGGACATGGCACGTAAGTTTATAAAATAATAATAAAAATTTATACATTAAATACATTTTTTATTGTGATTTCAATAATAACATAACTTCTTCTCTATATATTATATATTTTTTGTTAATATTTAACTATCGTTTTATTAATCATTAATAAAGACTTATAAATAATATTAAATATTCAATTATATTATTCATAAATTGAAATCTATCAATCAATTGCTTTATCTGTTTTTAATCGAGTTCAAAATAATTATTTTGTAATTGATTAATTTTTAATTATTTCTTATGAATATATATATATATATATATATATATATATATATATGTTTTGTACTTTTTTTATATTCAAAATCTTTTAAATTGATCGTATTATTAAAATATCTATTTATTTATCATTAAAAACATAAACAATTATTAGTCAGGTCAATCAAATTTATATAATTTTCTTTCATAAACATTACATTTTATCAATGATTATTTATATTTTTTTACAATTTTTTCAAGAACAGTAAATAAATATATTTATGCTGTACCAATAACGTGTACCTTAGAATATAGCTAATTAAAAGAAAATTACTAATAGGAGGAATAAATAATAGTTAAGAATAAGTATGCAGACAGGAAATCAACTATTATTAAATTTAATTTTCAAAAATTGCATTGATTTCAATGAATGCAAGAGGTATTATAAATCTTCGTATAATAAAATTATATGAAATATAAATATTTACTTAATGCGTTGTATTTTATTTCAAATGTTTTATTATTCAATGCCCTTTAATTAATAATTTAGAAACAATAATCATTATGTAACTGTATGACTTTAGCTGTGACATCTTAAATCATAAGGATATAGTGTTATAAATTTGTGAAAAAAATTTAACTGTATAATAAATAAAAAAATGTTTGTTTACATAAATATAAATAAAATTCACTACCAATTTCGATTCTATTTATATTTGCACATAAAAATTTAACATAAAATTCGACGCATTAAGTATATGTTTATATTTCATATAATTTTTAATATGTAATATGTGTATAACTTTTTAATAACAAATTTGAAAAAAAAAGATACACATACTTAAAAAGTAAAAGTTTTTATATTTTAAAAATTTTTTAGTAAGAAAATAGGAGATACAGAAAAATTATCTTCGATAAATCTGAATAACTCTTGATTGTTTTAAAATCATCAACAAAGTTTTATTAACCAAGCGATTAAAATAAATTTCTACTTAAATTTACAGTTTTAGTAAATATTATGTTGAATAAATCTTTATATAAATATTAATTTAATTATCAAAATTCGAATAAACATCGATCGATCATTAATTAATTTTTGTTGAAAAAAATATGGAAACTCATAAAGAGTTTTTATAAGTTTTTTTCAGAAGATACTTCTATAAAAATTGTTATAAATATTCAATAACAAATGAATTATAAAATTTAAAAATTTCCATTTAGTAAGCTTCATTTTAGTAAGTTTCATTTCAGTAAGTAATATTAGCTAGTAAAAAAAGATTTCTGCTCATAGATTAATTTACTATGAAAAAAAAATACATTCATAAGTCATCTTTTAGCGAGCTATTACATTTTATGTGTAATAGACATTGTAATTTTTGGTTGTTGTATAGATCAGACAACTGATTAGTTAATTACGTAAATATTTCAATAATAATACAGATAGTATATGTGTGTTATAAATACCTCGTTATATCATAATATTAATTATTAACTAAAATGATGTTACTCATTATGATATACTAGTTAAAATTTTAAAAAATTGTTATGTGTAACGTATGCATATAACTGCAGAAAAAAATTTTTATTAAAAATGTTAAATGTTTTGAAATACTAATTAATAACGATATAACCATTTAGTATAAAAATATTAAACAATAGATTAGGTTATTATTTTCCTTACAATCCTTTATAACGGCCATTATTCGATATTTTTTGATGATCCACAATCATATTACAGCTTACAAATTAGTATGCTAGTATATTAAAATTTGCAATATCAACATTAAATTTGCAAGAATGGCTTTGTTTTCTTTAAGTATCTAATTTAGCAATTGATAATATATCTTACAATGATTAAGCGCGAGTTTATCATATTTTCAAGACTTTGATAAAACTCTATTTTATTACTAACATATTAATGAATTTAGTAGTAGTAGTATTATTTTTTAACTTATTGAGAATGTTGATGCATTTAAAGCTTTTCAATATATACCTCGTACGTGAATTGAAGTTCAATAAACGATTTTTATGCTGTAATTGTACTCTAATGTTAAATATTTGTGTTAGCCAAGTAGTCAAAGCATTAAGTAAAAAGGACTTATTCAGTATACTAATATTTTCGATATTCAAATGCTGTTCATATACAGTTTGCTTACAGAAGTAGTACATTAAATTAAATTATAAAATAATATTAAATAATAAAAAGAATTAAAATAAATAAATAGGTATCTGTGGTTATGTGTACAATCGTTTGGACGGGTGTATACATTAATTTATATATATAATATAATATAAAAATATGTATATCTAATTGTATTTCATATCAAACTAAAAATGTATATTTTTTTGCTCAATATTAATTGAATTGATCTATTCTTTAAATCATATTTTTTATTTAATTATTATTAATTATATTTATACGGATACGATGTAATGAACTTTTTAAGAACTTTTTATTATAATCAATTTTAACTGATTAATTTGAAGTTCTTCTACAAATTTAGATTTATGTTTGAATGTATTGCAAAGTATTATATATATTTATGCTCTATTATCTTATGCTTATTTTTTCTGTTTAAATTGAAAAATATTAGATAATCGATATTAGATAAGAATAATATTCGACGTTATAAAAAAGAACGAGATTACTTATAATTAAAAAATTTTATTTTTTCTTATATATAAATATGAATTCATTGTAAACATGAAAAGGAATGTTTACAAAAAGTATTTTCTCTTTTACAGAAAATCGTTTTGCTCTTTGTATAAAAATTTATTATAGTCTGTCAATAAAACTTCTTATGCAAATGTTTATAAATATTTAATGGTTATAATACTGCTTTGTATAAATTATGTATGAGTAATAGTTTCAAAAATATATATACCTGTATATTTTGTATTACTTAAGCAATTTTATTGCATTCATTCTGCAATTTTATGTAATTATGTTTGTACGATTAAAATTAAAACTCTTCAAAGATAATCAACTAAAAATAGTAGATTAATATAACTAATCTAATTAAATATTTTAATATAAAATTACTTGATTAATTTTTTAATCATAAATGTTTTCTGAATATAAAATAGACTTATTATTTACTGACATGAAGACTTATCATTGAAATTAATTTGAAGGAATCGAAATACTTGCTGACGAATAATGGAATTAATATTATTGAATTCGGCTACTCGACAGCCCTAATATTAGATATTAACATTTAGTTTATATTAACCATTAGAGTTAATATTCATGAATTTAATAAAAATTACGTTAATCTAGATTTGTTAAATTTTATTAACTTTAGTAAGTAAATTTTATAGAATTTTATTTTTATTGTTTATTTCCTACACATGGTTCATAATATTTAATATTTTTTTTGGAAAAAACTAAATAAAAGTTAAATATTTATAACGTTATCAATACTATAAGTTTATATTATAAATATTAACTCATTAAAGTGATCAAATAATAATTAGTATAATATAAATTAAAACAAAAATTAATTAATAATTAATGTGCCCGATCAATTACACTACCTTGTATAATTGAAATATGAAACTATATTTTACTCAAGATTTGTTGATAAATATAAAGTTAATTTATAGAAAAATATACGATTAATTTTAACTTCATTTTTTTAAATAACAGGAATATTAGTTATTAAAATTCTTAACTAATATTTTAACAATATTTGTAGTCAACTTCAAAACGTTTTATTAATTTTTTTTTCGTATTTAAGAAAAAAATTTAATATATATATATATATATATATATATATATTATTTCAGAAAATACCAATGCCATAATAGTTTATCATATTTATCATAAAATATTATTATTTCTAATTGTAAATCTAAATTTTTCTTTGAAACATTCTGATTTAATTCTGATACAGTTTGCTCAAGTAAAATTATGCAGGGATATTTAAAATGTGGAGACAAAATACATAAATTTAAATTGAATATTTTATGTATTAGAAAAGTCGTAACTTAACATTTAATGTATTTTTATTTTTATTATTTAACTTACCCTTTTCTCTATGTGACTATGTATGGCTATTATTATAATTCAACCACAGCGTAAAAGAAATATAAATTAAAATAACAATTACAATGATTATTAAAATAGGTTTAAATAAAAAATGTAAAATTTCAATTATTTGTTATACCTTTTTATTCATATTGTTTGATTTTAATGTTTGACTTCGTTTGATACAAATATATATATATAATATTTTATTTATTACAGCTTACGTTACGATGAAGAAGAAGAAGTTTCTTGGATGTTTTGGCATAAAAGGCGATATATCGTTGCAGTTCTAGCTTTTTTTGGATTTTTTGTATCATATATCCTTCGTGTCAATTTGAGTATTGCAATTGTTAAAATGACAGCAAACGAAACAGCAATCGATGTGAATGGCACGACTCATTATGCAAGTACTTTTTTATATTTAATTTTAATTTTCTATTTTATTGAATAACTGAATTATTTAAATATTTAATAAAAATATCAATAAGTTTTCATTGTGAAAAGGAAATTTACGATTTAATTAATTTTTATTTTATAAATGTTAAAGATAACATTTTCATGCTATTTTTGTATATCATGTTTTCTATTTAATCGAATATTAATATTAATGTAAATGGTTAATCAGTTCTAGTTCATAGTAATGAACTAATCAAAATATACATTGATATAAAATTAATCATGAATAAACAATATCGCGAGTAATTTGATGGGATTGTTTGATTTTTTCCCTATAAATACAATTAATAATGTTTAAATGGTTTTTAATTTATTTTACACAATAGAATCGGGAATTTGACTGGGATTCTAAACTGCAAGGCCTCGTATTAAGTTCATTTTTCTATGGATATATAAGTACACAATTGTTGGGTGGTTGGTTAGCATCCCGCATTGGCGGGAAAAGGGTATTTGGTTTTGGGATTGCTGTCACAGCTTTTTTCACGATAATCACTCCACCAATCACTAGATATAGTATTTATTTATTGATAGCTGTGCGAATAATAGAAGGAATTTGTGAGTTATAAAAATATGCGCAACCCCCCCCCCCCCACACATATATATATATATATATATATATATATATCTTTTTAATATTCTTATATAGGGCGTTACCTACCCATGTATTCATGCAATATGGGCTAATTGGGCACCTCCACTTGAACGCTCAAAATTAGCAACTCTCGCTTTTTCTGGAAGTTTTGTTGGTACAGTGTTCGCAATGCCAGTATGCGGTATTATGGCTGAACGATTTGGTTGGCCTAGTATCTTCTATGTTTTTGGGACACTTGGACTTATATGGTACGTTTTCTGGACTATCGTCGTCAAGGACCATCCAGAAGATGACCCATATATTAATGAATCCGAGCTTAAGTATATAAAGCGTACTCTTGGTACCGCTGAGCACCAGGTTTACCCATGTTACATTTTACATTATTACTATTTTGAAAATAAACATGTGGTTTTTCTGTGATAATATCAATTTATTTCACAACTGTTTTTCCATGTTGTCGTAACAGACTTTTAAACAATTAGAAAATTAATAAACTATATTATTATGTTTAAAATTAAATCAAAATAGGCAATAAATATTTAAAAACTTATTAAATATTTTCTTATTTTTATCATTATTTGATTCAAATTTTCACATTATATTTTTTTGTGAATAGGTCTTCACGTATCTATACGATTGTCTTAAATTTATCACACGGAAAAACTATTTAAATAAATATAATAACACATGGTAAAACCACGTGCTCATTTATAATAAGATAATTTTCTCATAAGTGAATAATAATTAATAGAAAAAATTATTTAATTTAATATTGATCTGTAGAAAGTTTCACATCCATGGAAAGCTATGCTTACATCTCCAGCAGTCTGGGCTATTGTTGCGGCACATTTCAGCGAAAATTGGGGCTTTTATACCATGCTTACGCAACTACCAACTTTTATGAATGGTAATTCAATAACAATAACATTTCATTGTATGTACTTATTGACCTTTTTATTTTTTGCATAGATGTATTAAATTTTAAACTAGAAAAAACTGGATTTCTTTCTGCATTACCGTATTTGGTAATGGCAATGGTATTACAAATTTCCGGACATTTAGCCGATTATTTTCGTTCCAGAAAAATTCTTACTACCACACAGGTTCGCAAAATTTTCAATTGTAGTGCATTTATAAGTCAAACAATTTTTATGGCTTGTACAGCCTATATATTAACACCAAATGGAGCGGTAACATGCATTACAATAGCAGTTGGGCTTGGAGGTTTTGCTTGGTCCGGTTTCAGGTAAGCATATTATAAAACATTTTGCTATTGTACATTTAATAAATAAATTGTTAATTTTAGTGTGAATTATTTGGACATAGCGCCTAAACATGCAAGTGTATTAATGGGAATAGGTAATACCATTGCGACTTTACCTGGAATTCTCAGTCCTTTAATTACTGGTTACATCGTGAAAGAAAAGGTTACGATTTTATTAACCTATATTTGTATTAATATAACTACATAAATAAGTAAAACATTAAAAATAAAATTTTCAAAATATTTAGACTGCTGATGAGTGGCGAATAGTGTTTCTTATAGCTAGTATAATTTATCTAATTGGGGCTGTTATTTACGGAATTTTTGCTTCTGGTGAAAAACAAGCTTGGGCCCTTGAAAGGAAACGAGAGCAGGACGTTGGTTATGATAATCCAACTATGGAAATTGATAATCTATAATTTTCAAACTACACACCAACATTATAATAAAATTTTAGATTTTTTAATATCTTTAATTGAAAAATTATATTAGTATTTAAAGTACAAAGTTGGCTACAGACATTTCACTATTCATATCAGTTTTAAACATTCAAATTCATGCGTTATAAATAATATAATTAATATTACAATTTCTGTAAAAACAATATCATAAAAATATGATTGATAAAATTATTTTTGCAAAAGATAAATAGCACTATTCGGTTGAAATTTATTAAATACTGTAACTTAAAATCTGAATAGTCTATTCGATAATTTATACATGAATAATAAATGTCGATGTACATTAGCATAAAAAATTTTATCAAATTAAAAAAAAATTAGTAAAAAAAAATGTTGGATTGAAATTAAAACTATATAATTATATTCGACAACATTTTTAACTAAATATAGAATCATTTTTCAGTATTATATTGTAAAATTAGTAAAATTAATTTTAAGATTGTAAAATTATATTTAATTTTTTAAGTTGATATATTTTCATACACTTATCTATATTCTTCTTACCTCTCTTTTTTTATATATATATATATATTATTTTATTTTACATCAATACGAAAAGAATATGTGAAATAGTACCAAATACTTTAATATTGAAATAAAAAATACTCCCAATTAATGAAAATGCTTGAATACAAAATCAATTTAATACTTAAAATTTTAAACATATATTTATATTACTTCTTATCATTCCCATTAATAAAATATCACAGAAATACATGGTTTAAACATTTCTTTTCACTTCGAGCAATAGCTTTATTATAATATTATAGAAATATATTTGATGTTTTAAAATTTATTTAGACTATTAGAATTTTGAGATTTTATTTATATTTTCATATAATTCATATATAAATAATTTAGAATATATTGCAATATGTGCGAATAGAAAATAGATAATTTAATCAGATGTATATAATTATAATAATAAAAGTTTACATTTTATTGTATTAAAACATGTAAAAACATTTATTACAATATTTTATAAAAATAAAATATTTGCATGTGTTCAATAAACATTATTTAAAATAAATTTTATATAGATATATTAATCATTATTCATCAAAATAGCAAATTTCTTAACAACTACTTGTTAACGTCTTAATTCAATTATGGAAATTTCAAACCGGAGAGTTAAATACCAATTATTCTTTTATTAATAATTTGTAACAATTGTCAAAATTTTAATAAGTTGTGTAATAATTGAAAGTCGACTTGAGAGAATACATGTTCAAAGAAATAATCGAATAAGAATTAGTATGTAATAATAGGAATAAGATTAGTAAAAAGTATAACATATTATAAATATGAAATTGAAAAAATTTTTTGTACATCATAAACAATTTTATGCTATTTAAATTCTTTGAACTTTTATTAAAATTTGTCGATTTATTTAGCGAAACATCGAAATGCTTTAAAATTATATTCATACATATCTAACACATTATAATACATATTATAAACATATTATAATATCAAATATGTAATTGTGTAAAATATTTATTTACTGGAGCTACTATAACATGATTTATATTTTTCCATAAAACATTTATATATTAAAGAAGAAAATAGCCCAATAATGACTACCTATAACTTTAATTAAAATTATTTTTAATTCTAATATTTATCTGTAGTTGTAATTGATACAGAAGGACCGTATTATTCAAATTACAATTACATTGTAATTTACTCCCATAATTATAAGAGAAATTTATTTTAATTTTTAAAAAGCATTCAATGTTTTTTTTTTTTTTTGTTGTAAATGACATTGAAAATATAATTATATTAACATTTATATTTTAAGTAAAATTTAAGATATTTATTTATTAATAAAAAAGAGATTTAGAATATATTTTTATACAGACTTGTTTTTGTTTTATTGCAACAATTATGTCAAACTTTTAATAACTTAATCTAAACGCTTCATTTTTATATATTATTTAAAATATATATAATCCTTACAAAATATCTACATTAGAGAATAATTATAAATATATCTGATGCATAAAAAAAATTAATTATCGGTTTATTTCGACTTTAAATATATATTTTATAGTTTTTTACTTTTATGCAAAGACAAAAATCTGTAATCTAATTAAATTACAATTATGCATTCTCATATGAATACGAATTATCAGTTTATTAAATATTATTTAATTGGATAATTAAAAATATTTTAAAGATTTAGAAAATAATAAATTGACATTTAGTTTTCATCCAAATCTTTGTATTTACATAATACATTAATAATTGTTTTTAAAAATCTCCAAAATTTGTTAATGTTTTTTACATTATTTATATTATATATCATTTAGTTGAATGAATTGATTTTAAAAATAAAATTTTTCGTAAGTTTTTATTATGCTACAGTAAATAGGATATAATTAATATTTTAATTTATCTTAAAATAGTGATAATGCTCTCCTTTAATACTTAATAATATGTTTGTAAATTTTAATTGCATGTAAAACAACAATTAATTTACTTTAATTATAGTAATTATTTAATTACCCACATTGAAGACTGATAATAAGGAAATTATAAAAAAAAATAATTACAATTACTTTTTTATAATCTATAATTAAAACAAAATATTTGTCACAATTTATTAATTAAAATACTCTTACAACGTTAAATTGAGATTCATCTATATTATTTGAAGTATTTCGTCATGTAGGAAATCAAGATAACAAAAATATTTATGTATCACCATAAAAAAATAGTTTACTATGTTTAAAAATAGTACCTAGGAAGTAAAATCAAAAGTAACATAAGAATTTTAAAATTTGACGAAATTATTGCAAATAATGAAGCAGTAAGCTACTCCTCAACGACAAACATTAGATTAAGAATCGTTACTAATCCATATGCACCATTATAAAATTTTTGTGAATTATATAAATATATAATAGTATGTTAAACTTGGAGATGGTTATTGATAAATTATATAATATTTCATTAGATCTTTTTGTAATAAATAAATCAAAATGTATTAAAAATTTGTCATTTAAACGAAAACATAATCTTATATAAATTTTTCTTTAATATTGGAAAAAATATATGAAAACATAAGTGCAATAAACATTATATGAAAGATAATTAATCATATATAATAATAGTCCAAAAGTATATATATTATAATCTACTATATTAAATGTTTTTTTTATAAAAATGTTCCACTGTAAATAAGTAATAAATGTATGAATAGATTTGTAAGAATAAATAAATTCATACAACTCAAATAATTACTTTCTATGTAATGATTTCTAGGAAACATATTTATGTATACTTTTTGGTGCTTCAGAAAATATAATCTAAAATATTTAAAATAAAAAATATTATGAATTTAAATTAAAATAATAGTTAGAGATCAATCTTTTCATTCTCTAAATACAAAACTATTAGTAAATATAAAATTCATTATGCATTGCCCATGGCTTTTTGTTCATTCCATACTGCTAATAGTTCATCAGGGTTGCTGTAGCCATGTGAACTAATTACATACTTATAATTATATTTTGTATAATCTTTTTTATAAAAATGAAATTCATCACAATGAAAAGGCTCTATATCAACTTTTCTTGCAGCAATACCCAAAAAAATATCATCGAATCTAAAGTATTTTGTGTACATACTAGCATAGTACATATCCATAAGAGCCTCTTTTGATAAAATATAAACTCCAGCAGTGATATATGGTGGCCACATATTATATGGATATTCTTTTAATGAAACATACCATTTTGAACTTTTGTATCTATGAGGAGAAGAATTAAATACAAAACCTGCAAATAGCCTAACATCATCTGGTAATTCAAAATCAAACACTTGACGTTTTTTCACATTTTTACTTTCAAGATTCCTTTTAACCATTATTATAGTTTTATCATTTGTATTTTCTGATACATACTTTGGATTCATCGTTTCATTGTAATTATTTAATAATAAATTTTGTTGTACAAATGGGTTCTTTGTTACATTTGATCCTGACCTCTTAAATCTATTTCTTAAATGTTCAACATCTTCTAAATAATCATAATTATTATTAACATTGATTAAAAATTTACTCTATATAAAAAATAGTTTAAATAGATATTTTTCATACTTACTTAATTTGATAGTATCCTTCAAATAATCTGGATATAAAACTGGATTCCTTAAAAATCTCAATACGTTTTTCACGGATATATAAATATCATCATCAACAAACATATAAAATTTTGAATTAGCGCAATACTTTACAGCCCATTTAAATCCCATCATAGTTTTAATAGTATTATTATAATATGTATCTAAAAAGTCAGCCTGTACAATATCATGATAAACTAATGATTCGAAATTAATTTTGTTTAGGAGCTCATTATCATTGATATGTGTACCTAATAAGAAAACAGTTTTTAAAGGAACGTCAGAAAATCTTTTCTCAAATCCCCATGAATTTCTAATAGCCATCCTTCTATTATAATTTTCAACAGCAGATTTTATTAAAAATACTACACGTAATGTTTGAAAACTTGGTTCAATACATTTATCCTTAATATCATGAATAAATGTAAAGTTGTGATCATTAATAGGTGGCACATTTGGTTTTTGATTTTGTCGTAGAGCAACTATAAACTCATGAATGTCTCCTTCGTATGGATAAATAAAGCTATCATCAAACGAAACTTCAAAAAGATGTGTGAAAACTCCAAAAAAGTCAAGAATAAAAATTATACCAACAGTAGTGCAAGCGTGCTTTAATCTTATTCTAACCATTAATTTTAAACACATTTTGAAATATGGAGTTAAAAAAGATGTCATTTTTTAATTGATTTCAATAATCTATGAATATAAAATAGTTGTAATTGTTACATAACTTTGGCTTAGAATAACCTGCAAGAAAGTTTTTAGTAATTAATTCTACATAATATCGAGTTAGCAAACTGTTTGTAAATTAATAATTTATATAATATATTAATATTAATTAAAATATTAATTAAAATAGCTTACTTTTTAATAGACTTAAATATAGTTAAGGCATCAAGGTATGATAACGTGGAATGATATTTATAATTAATGTCATTGTATTTTTAAATTTTGTTAATAATTATCATAATAAGATGTAACATTTCTTTTTGTTCTTATTTAAAAATGTATGTATATTATAATATTAATTCATATGATTTATTGTTTAGACTAATCATCTCATTAGATCATTTTTTGCCACTTTGCATAACCCATGGCAAAAAAGTATTTGGCATCATCGTCTCTTCAAATCTTAATAAACTGAAAATATTCTTCCATTGAGAAAGTAGAATCGGTATTTTGTCGTCATTTCACATGCGCACTTCAAATTTCTTATTTCTTTAGTGCTTAAAACGCGCAAATTTTAAGTAACTAAATATTACAAAAAAAAAATATGGTAAATTATCAAGCTTTTTCACAGTATAGTACAAAATACCTTTAGAAATAAACTTGTCATTATTATTCATTATAAATTGTGTATGGCATAATAACAATATAAAATACGTATCTTTTTACAGTTCTATTTTCATAATTTAAAATAATATTAAATCCGTATTTTAAAAATTAACCTTTATGATGTTACTGTATAAATTAAGTTAATAATTTACTTGGATTCTTGATAGTTTTAAACTTCGTTTCATCCCGTAAAAGCGCATTAATGAAATAAGAACTTTGAATTACAATAATTGTTTCGAGAACTAATGCATTCATCACTGTCAAATTGCATTGCGATTGTTTATTGAATTTAACTTTATTATATTGGAAGAAGTGCGTCAATTTTATTTGGAAGATAACATTATATAATCATGGTATATTATGTTCCTAATATGAGAATATAAGAAATGGAAGTTAGCCACCTAGTGGTGTTCGTTAATAAAATCGTAAATCTACACATTACATGTATTAAAGTGAGAACATGTTTTAAAACGACATGCAACGACAGTATAAAATATAAAATTGATATAAGCATAGAGATTGAAAAAAAAGATGTTCTCAAATATTGGCCGTAATTTGCTGACATCATATTTTATAAAATATAAGTTCAAGGTTAATCACATATTTATATATCCCCTTACTAAATTGGTTTTAGATGAATGACAAGTACCCATTAGTGTATGTAATTTAATTGTTAGTTATACATTAATACATTAATTAATCATTACATTTTTAAACACGAAATAGACTCGGACAATTGTACAGTAAAAAAAAATCATTGTAATAAAATTAATATCGTCACTTCAGAGCTCATTTGCTGATTTCTGATTGGTTCTGCCTCTATCTCTATCTTGTATCTTTTTTTTTCATGCATCAGTTTTTATTTATGTTTATGGCCTTATTTCTCTACATAATCAAATATTATTAATATAAAATAATTTTCGAAATGATTCAAAATTTTATTACGCTCCAAGTTTTTCAATATAAATTGTAATTTATATATATATATATATATATATATATATATATATATATATATATACACATATATTCATTTATTTATTTATTTATGTGCATTTGCGTCTATATATGCATGCATGCATGCGCAAATATATATGGACGAGTGCAAGTGTGTGTTTATGTACAGACCGTATATATAGATAATCTTAATATGTTTGTAAGAAACGCATTGATATTTTCCGACAATTATCGGTAACTTGAAACAGTCAAAAAGTTAAATAATATTGTGATTAACTTTAGTTATTGGCTGTACAAAGAAAGAGT